TAGTTGTCACTTTTTTAGTTGGTAATGAATGAATTTACAAATCTCTAAAAATCTAGAATTTAGCTGTTAAAGTTATCGGAAATCGTTAAAATTCAATAGGATTATTCGACTTAAACACTGTATAAATTCCTTCTGATTCATAAAACACAAATTCTATTTCGTTTCGTTTTGAAAGTTCAAAATTTAATTTTACTTAGCTTTACTTCACTAAGGTCTGGAGGAGTTGTTATGTAACCCGCGTTCTGATTGATGTAAAGGATTAGCCAATCCTGCGGCGAGTTCTTGGCGTGTGATGCACGGGACTGTGGGTATCCCACTAGGAACTTCAACGCTGATTTGTTAATCAAATGTCTGACGTCATAGGTCAAAAGCCGCTTGTGTGACCCCTGACGCCACCTCCCAATATAACCGGTCAGATCTTCATCTAGTGGAGGCTATCAAAAGTATAGAAAAAACGAAACGAAATATAGATCTGTATTTTAATCGGATTGGTATAAATTTAGCTTTTCAAGTTTTTGAAAATCCTTGAAATTCAGCAGGATTTCTTGTATCCATGCCTTAAACAAACTATATATATTTACAGTCAAACGGGTGACAACATTTGTCTTTATAATCACCATACGATTTTCAAAGTGATCAAGGGCAACAACTCTTCCAATTGTTAAAAAAAAATAGATCTCTTCCTCTAATGTGTACAAATTCCATGTCATTCGGTTGATACCTGTAGTCTCTAAAGCATCCAGAAGAGTTTTCAAAAAAGATTAAGGGCCAAAAACTCCTATAGTAATTATCGGAAATCATTAAGTACGCGGAGGACCATGCAAAAATTGAAAAAAAACCCCGATAACCCTGGGGGTCAGTAATTTTCATTCATACTTGGTCTAACGGGGCCTCTAGGCGACAGATGTAGTGGAAAAAATATTTAAATGATAACTTCCGGTATAACTGGAAATTGTTTATGTGGGGTGTCAAATTTACCATATTTCGAACAATTTTTTTAACCCAATTTCAAAACGTTCCTATTCGAAATTTTGATATTGGTCATTTATAAAGGGCCAAGTGGTCGACTTAAAATCCTGCAGTCGTTTGTAAATGAATGAATCGTGTGGAATTTTCTGTGAGTTATCTTAAAGTGGTCATTTTACATAAGTTAAAAACTATGTCATCCTAACACGTTTGAGTTTGAATAATATCTTATTAGATTATTCTGGATTTTGGCAGATTTGTATGGGTTAGGGTAAATTGTGATGTTGCTGGTGATATCAGTATTATATGAGTTGAGTTTATATTGTTGCTATGTATTATTTGGTAAATATTGTGGTAAATATCCTATAACATATACGTTAAACCCCAGTTGTGATGAACGTCATTTTTGGATGCTTTCAATTTTATTAATTTTGTTTAAAATTCTTTGTTAACAAATGTTTCTTCCAAATTTTGTATGGTTCCGGTACTGTCAACACGAAAGATTTCTGGCCCGAGTTGACCAGGGAAGACAGAAAGATGCTTATCTGCTATTTTTAATGGGGAATGAGGTATTAATTGTATCGAAAATCATAGTATAGCACTTTATTTATATCTTGGATAAGTTTTCACTATGTTTCAATTAATAACTTTGGAGAAATATGCATTGTTCCAAGTTTTCTAACTTAGAATGGTCGGTGGCGTTGTCGACCTTACTTGACCTCATTTTGCACTGGTCATTCCCAAGACTGATTTAGCAGCGGTATGTGTTTATTTACATGTAAACGCTAATTTATTTTTGTTATAATTATATCAAACGTGGCCTTTGATTATTTCCTTTCTACAGACCTATTCACATAAGTTATACCGGTATTCATCTAGGCTATGGAATTCGATACCCTCCATTCTTTCTATAGAAATGTCTTTGACAGATTGAATGTTTAAATGTTTTGTTAATTGTATCTTTTAAGTTTTTTACGGTGATTAATATAGAAATATTTAAAAGAAAGAAAATTGTTTTTATTGATCTTCACCCGTAAGTTCTATCCACCCAATGATAAGATAGTACCATTTCATTCATTGATTCCAGAACACTATATTCCACTTTTGAGTTGAGGATTTAACATAGCTGATAAATATTATATTTCTATGTGAACATATTTATTGATTGGGAAAAATATCCCTGGCTGACTTATGAATATTAATTAGTATATTGATTATATCCGTGGGCGTCTCTGATATTTTAACTGGCTATAACAGATCATAGTCATATGATTGGCTATCTTATGAATATAAATTAGTATAACAGACCAGAATTTTACTACAAGATATAAACTGTTGGGTCTCTCTCAACAAGTTAACAGGTGTCAATTATAACGATTGGATACTTTATTGAATAAGACGTATTGTTAAGCTGAATAATGTTGAATTACCTGTAACACACACAGGTAGGTAATACTTATATTAGTAGTTTGTAAATGAAGTAAAATGGGGTTTAACTTCATACTGCTCTGCATCGAGGGGCATGCAGTGTACTATGAGTGAAATTTGCTCTGATAGCAGCGCTACTCTTATTTCGAATGCCAACTGTCAAGTGTTCTCTTATACGGACGCCAATGTGCACACGAGACCCTTTCTTCCCATCCGAACGACTATACGCTGTACCTTGCCAGACCCTCCATCGAACACCACTGACAATATAGAACCGCGCCGGAAAATCCTGATGAACCTTATCGGTCAACACCGGAATCGAACACGAGACCTCCAGGTTAGGGGGGGGGGGCAAATTCGTACTCACAGAGTCACCGCGGACCTCCTTCGTCATTTGGCACATTGACATAAAATAATATAATGAACAGAAATATAGCAAAAGTTGTAGGTTGACATAAATAAAACTTGACAAAGTCGACAGTACTCTAAAATATTTATATCCTGCTGCAACGCCTTTAGATGGAATCCAGCGGGCCAGGACAAAAATGCAAATATTTTGTTATCGAATATATATTTATCTATATTAATTTTCAAAAAAGATGCGTAAATCTAACACGTGATCGAGAGAGAGAGAGAGAGAGAGAGAGACCTTATGAAGCAACGTGCACGTGTTAACCCTTCGACCATGCAACCCCCCCCCCCCCCAATATAGTAAATATAGCATTATTTAACAATGATTTAACATTATTTAACATTTTTAAATTACTTTTCGCCCGTCTTGGGGTTATTCATAAATAATGTCATCAATATATCCCAAAATATTAGCACAACCGTAAAACTGCACTTCTTTGTTTCACGGTAATTGATGAAAAATAACATTTTTTTTTCTTGTAAAATGTGTATTTAAACAATTTATATCGAGAGAGAGAGAGAGAGAGAGAGAGAGAGAGGTGGATTAAATTCAATTCAACACAAACTAGGTCATTTGTGGGACTAACATATGGTACATCCCTGAGAACAGAGAAAACCCACGAGGTTCTTACAGTCAACCCTACTCCTTGACACGTACTAGCGGGGAGTCGAAACCACGCCACTTGACTCAATGACAGGCCTTGTGATTTGAAGACACTAGACCGGTCAACCCCCATAATCCGATGTAAGGCATGTAATAGAGGCTACTCTAAATACGCTTCTATTGATATTCCGGTTTCTACTCACGGCTTAAAATAATAAAACACGCACGCAATTAGAAATCTTGAAATGAAATGAAATGAAATGAAATGGGGTTTAACGTCCTACTATTCTGCTCCTAACCTGGGCTAATAAAGACGGGCATACGCCATACAGTGTGCTATGAGGGAAATTTAGCCCGGGCAACGGCGCTACGGCTTACTCTTATATCGAATTCCAACTGCCAAGGGGTCTTTTAGGTGCACGCCAATGTGTACACGGGACCTCGGTTTTTCGTCCCATCCGAACGAATAGAGAGCTGGCCTTGTCAGGCCCTCCATCCTGCATCAATGACAAGGGGAAACCACGCCGGAAAATCTGGATGAACTTTCTCGGCCAATGCAGGGATCGAACACCCGACCTCCAGGCTAGCGAGCCAGCGCCTTACCCACTTAACCACGTGACTCCACAATTAGAAATCTTAGTAAAATACATAATATTTTAATTTAAGAATGTTACCTCTACTATTAAAAAGAAATTAATCTTATAACCAATGTGTCTTATTCTTTTTTTCATATTTAGTTGATAACAGAGATGACATTTTGGGTTAAATACCCGGTGGCCATTGTCGTCATATTATTTGTTGTACAGAGCTGTGTTTGTAATGGGAACTGTAAGTTTAAATATATCTATATATTTAGTTTATAAATTATATATATGATGTACAGGTGTTTTATAGTTCAGGTTGAATCGATGTTAAGTGGGACTGGTAGTATTTAATTCCATTTTGGTAACGAAATGGAATAGGGTTTAATGTCCTACTATATGTTATGTTTTTCAAGCTTACCTTAATTGAGCATTATGGGAGATTAGATATAGAGTTGACAGTTCTCGCTATAATAACTAAAAAATAAATAACTTAAATGGAATATGATGAAAATTTTTGTCAAATTACTCCACTATGAATCGAGATATTAGCTTTTGAATTTTAGCCTTGTCTCGATCAGTACTAAAGTCGGTACGATAAAAAACAAAGTCTAGATTATCCAATTTTACGTTTAATTATTTTTCAAAAATGTATTCCAATCCGCTAAATATTGCAGGGTAGCGATGGCATCGAGAGTTGGTTATGATCTGGATTAGTTAATTAATGTCTATTTAATAATTAAGATAACATTCCCAGCTTATACGTGCCAAGAAGTAGAGCCGCTTGTCCATCCTCATTCATTTTCTCCCGTTTCCTACTTTGTTTCGCGTGGACGTTAAACCTCACTTCTCTCTCTTTTGTTTATGTAGCCCTTCCACCTATAACTGGACATGTAGGATGTTATGACCAAATGGACCTGTACGCGGACGGTGTTCAATATAGACATGGTAATGACAAACGCTGGCATGATCTGTCACCCATCAACATATCTGGTAGTACACAACTGATAGCAATCAAATGTACGAATTACCATGGTTGGAATGGCATCAGTGCTACCTTGAGTAACGGGATTAAAACTGATACAAGCTGGAAATGTTCAGATGTAAGGGTAGACAAGTGGGAACGTGTCGGGTAAGTTAATCCTTTATATAGAGATTAATGTCCTTAAAGATGTCATGGTTTTATCCCAGACTAATTCGCCTACAATAATACTAATTGTTAACATGTCATGATAGTTACTGAGAATACAAATTGCCATTTGTTTATGGGCTTGTGAGAAATGTTCATTTGTCTTCTTCACTTATATGGAGATTATAAATAATAATAAATAATACATACATAGTTTATTCGAGTAAGTAGGCCTGGAACCAATAGTTACAAAATGAGGTAGTAGTAGACATATAAATACTTGTTTATATACATAAGGATAATTCTAAATATAGTTTGATCAGTAACTTAAAGTGGCATTAATACAATGTAAAATTGAATTAAAAGAGATTTATTTCTTGTTGTAAATGACTCATTGAACATATAATATATTATCTATTATTGTTCACTTATTAACAAATTTTGCAAGTATATATTATTTACATCTAATATGACTTAATTCGTTATCTTCGTGTTGATCTTACATCATGAAACTATCTTTATTTTTCATATTTCTATTAAACAAATTTGTAGCTAATGGTAAAAGATTCAACCTCAATTTTGTAATATTCCGTGAGATCTTTAGATTCATAATTTATGTTAAATTTTCTTCTTGACAAAGATTTATACTTATTTAAACCCATACTGTCGTTTAGCTTAGCCGACCAATTGTGAATTTCTATATCAGTAAGACGTGTTTTCAATAGACTGTTAAAAGTATTTATGTTACGGATACTTTGGGCTGACCAAGCATAACCAAAACAATAGAGTTTTCTATACCAAAACTGTAAAGCCGTTTGAACATTCTGTACACATGTTTGGATATCTCCTATCTGACATTGAAATGGGTTTAATATTTAATACTGTTTATTAAAGAATGTAAAGACAATTCAATAAATATATTGATTAATCTGGAAATTCTAACGGTTTATTCAAGTTACATGCAGCGCACTCGAACGATATCTCCTGTTTATCGCTGTGATAACATATCTAACAATCTGTTTCACAGAGACACTTACAACTCTGTAAAAAATGACTGCTTTTAACATGTGACGTCACATCACGGGGTATCAATTACTGGCTCAATGGCGCGTGTATTGTTTGCCTAAGACGTTACTGGTCCGGACAGATTGGCGCCTTTTAGTCGTTTTACATACCCATTTACGCCAAATAGGAAATAATCTTTAGCTACATATACTTCAAACGTCTTTATTTATTTTTCTAATACGTAAAAAAAAATGTTTTAGAATTGAGTTTGTCGCAGGAAAAAAAAGTGAATATTTGGGACCGATTAAGCCGCATCGATATCATCCATATCAGTTCTGTAGCGGACTAGCGAATGTTCACTGCTGTGGATATCTTACTGTAACCACACGGCGACTTGGTTGCAGGACTAATTTTTAAAACAAAAATGAGTTCGTGGATGGCAGTGAATATTCGATATATTATGTTATATTCCACGCAAAGCTTGATCCAGATTTGTTTTATGACCAGGAGAGTTGTGTGGATCAATGGTTTAACCCATGTGCGTTAGAACCATATCTCTCTCACTCTCTTTTTCTGAATATTTGTCTTATATCAATAACGTTATTGCAGATTTGACGACACAGCCTGGGGAAATGCTAAGCTGCTACCGTTTTGGATTTGGACGACTGCAGACTTAAACGGTGTAGGCACCATCTATTGTAGAAAGTTCATCAATAGCACGAAAAGTATGTATACAAAAGTAGATTTGTGTGCCATGTGAACTCCCCAAATAAAACGCGGCATCAGGTGTTCCAAAAAGAAGAAACACGGCATTTTAATATAAGTGCAGAACCTTGATATATGGTATATGTTTATAACCAAAATAATTTCAATCAAGTTGGTATAGATGTGCTTACTCTTTTTGGAACACCTTGTGTCACCAAGGATTTGATTTGATGCGTACCCTTCTTGAAACATCTGAAAATCAGTATTCAAATGGATTTAGTTTCTTAGTTTGGCAGTTTAACTTTCATTTGCTCATGTATGTTCAATTCGTTTACATGACTTTTGTTTTGACTACTAGTGGCAAATGCTCCTTCACACATAACCAAGACCTCGCTACACGCTTACGACGCGCAGAAATTCTATAGGTCGTGGTGAAATGCGAAAAAAAATCCCCTCATGTGTGAGGGCAACTAAGCTGTCCGTACGCGCAAAAACGCAGAAATTTCATCCTTTTCACGTTCTCACTATACGATGCTCCAATCGTCCTCACTTCTCTCTTGCACGCTAACTCCACGCCTGCTCAGCATTGTCTGCACAGAGCTCAGCAATATCCCCACCGTGGTCAATCTTATTGCCGCATCGGTCCAGAAGACTGCACCACGCTGACACGCCGCTCCTATCGTGCCCTTGCTACAACTGTTGCAACGACATTACCTCGATTGGCGAAAGTTTGGTGTTTAGGGGAGATACTGAGCCTCATCGATCAGTTCCAGCCTTGGAGAGTTAAGAAAAAATAACTTCTCGCAGAAAGTACGGCTTCGCTACGCGAAACTGAGACAATATTTAGGTGGATACGATTAGAATTGAATGTAGAAAATTAAAATAAAAATGTGTTGGGGGAGGGGGGGGGGGGTCGAACACACGCGCTTGAATCGAACTCCCAGCTACTTCTAAATAATGATTTTGGTATTCGATTATCCGATAGAAAGGGATCAGTGGAAAACATAAAATTTAGCGGTTTCGTTCGTTTGTTGTTTCTTTTAAAGATCAACTTTATATCGATATTTACAAATCAAATAATCCCTTCTGGTCTTTTGTATATAGTCTATATTTTATTTTTGTAGCCAGTCTAAATATAACTGTAAAAGCATACTGCGATAATATAATGGACTTATACGCGGATGGTGATCAATATAAACATGATAATGATAACATATGGAATGCTATGTCATCCATCAACATACCTGGTAGTACACAACTGGTAGCAATCAGGTGTTATAATCTGGAAGGATGGTGTGGCATCAACGTTGGCTTGAGTAACGGTGTTAGAACTGATACAACCTGGAAATGTTCAGAAGAAGAGGAAGAAGGTTGGAATACTGTTGGGTAAGTTGAAACGTTGGCTGATGTTCTATATAATAGTAATGTCGTAAGACTTAGAATGTCTCTGCTCATTATAACGAGAGCCGTGGTGGCTCAGTGGGTACGGGCCTGACTTACTAGACTGGATATTGCAGGTGTTTCGTCGTTGTTTCCCCTTGTCAGTAGTGCAGGGTGGAGGGCCGGGTATGGAACATCCTCTAGCAGTTCGATTGGCAGAAAAGAAGGACGTTAAACCCCATTTTGTTTCACGCACGCCGTCTTGTATTAAGCGTTTTATTTTATATTCAATAGTTTTCTAATCTCAATAACATTATTACAGTTTTAACGACAGTGCATGGAATAAAGCAAAACTTCTACAGCGTTCAAATGTTGATTGGATTTGGACGAATGATAATGCAATGGATATGGGCACCATTTACTGTAGAAAGTCAATATGTAAGTATACTTGGGGTATCCCCTACCCCCAAGTAATATGCAATCTATATGGAAATTGTTATATTTATTCTTCAACATAATCCACCTTGACATCAATACACTTGGTATATCGTTTCTCCAGCTTCTTTGAAACCAGTTTGTCACCTGACCCTTAAAACCCCCCAACAGCATTGGTGACCCAATCATCCGCCTCATATTTGCGAACTTATGTAGCATATTGGGTTATAAGAAGAGGAAGAAGTCAGAGGGAGGAGGTAGATCTGAAGAATAAGCTGGAAGAGAGAGGATCTGGTTGTCTGTCCAATTCAAGATCAATTTCCGAACATTGTATTTTGCCTTTCAATATATGTTTGGATGTGTTCCGTACATGTGATATCTCTTGAAATTTCCCGTCGCATTCTAAATTAGATAAAACTTTGTGTTTCTAAGTGGAAGTTAAAACTGATGCGTGGCCGCGCTTTACAGGTCACTGCATCTACAAAATGGAATAAACCACAACAAAAACCATCACTCAATCAATTTAAATCTGACATGAAAACTGAACTGTTTGGATTATATTATTAAATTTCATTGTATTATGCGCCATGAACACGTTTTGTGGATTTAGCGCCTTCTAAATGGACATATATGATTTAATATTATTACAGTAGTAGAGCCGTATTCCCCAACCACCACAGTAGTAGAGCCAAGTTCCACAACCACCACAGTAGTGGAGCCAAGTACTGCAACCACCACAGTAGAAGAGCTAAGTACTGCAACCACCAGAGTAGTAGAGTTAAGTGCTACAACCACCACAGTTGTAGAGCCAAGTTCCCTAAACACCACAGCAGGAGGGCTAAGTACTGCAACCACCACAGTAGTAGAGTCAAGTTCCCCAACCACCACAGTAGGAGAGCTAAGTACTGTAACCACAACAGTAGTACAGCCATGTTTACCAACCACCACAGTAATGGAGCTAAGTACTGCAACCACCACAGTAGTGGAGCCATGTTCCCCAACCACCACAGTAGTGGAGCTAAGTACTGTAACCACCACAGTAGTAGAGCCAAGTACTGCAACCACCACAGTAGTAGAGCCATGTTCCCCAACCACCACAGTAGAAGACCTATGTTCCCCAACCACCACTGTAGTGATGCCATGTACACAGACCACTGACTTTGATCTTCAACCTTCATCAACAGGGGTGGCTGTGTTAGGATCTGACGGAGTTTTGAGATCGCAGGTATGTCAAGACGTTGTGGTGGTGACATCTGAATCAGCAATGAAGGAGGCAGCTGTCAGCAGCATCTACAAGGAATTAACCCTCAACAAAAGTAAAATATCGGCTGTTATTCGTAAGAAAGTCAGTCAGAAAGATGAGAGACCAAGTTCAGCTACTATTGGTTATTTTGGGCTGATATTCGCTGTCCTGCCATTCGCCCTTCTAATCATATCTGATATTCCCAAACTGATACAACATTTGAGAACACGCATGCGTGCACACTAGGCTAGACAGGTGTTGGCTATTTTCCGGGGATAACAAAATGAAAGGTCTCGAAAGTATTGCGACTTATATAATTTATGTCCACTGTTGACACCGTGTTCTTAATGTCGTAAACAGTCCGATTTAAACTGATTTAAATTAATGTTTACCTCGCCTTGTTTATCTATCAATAAAAATTGTTGTATCTAGTATTTATCACGTGTTATAAATTGCTCTTTTCTTATTGTATCTAGTATTTACCACGTGTTATAAATTGTTCTTTTCTTATTGTATCTATTATTTACCACGTGTCATAAATTGGTCTTTTCTTATTGTATCTAGTATTTAGCACGTGTTACAAATTGGTCTCATCGTATTGTATCTAGTAGTTACCACGTGTTCTTTTCTTATCTTATTTAGTATTTAGCACGTGTTATAAATTGTTGTTTTCTGATTGTATCTAGTATTGTTCTTATCGTATTGTTTCTAATATTTACAACGTGTTCATATTGTATCTAGTATTTACCACGTGTTATTAACTATTTTAATCTTTTATCTAATATTTACCACGTGTCATAAATTGTTCTTTTTTTTATTGTATCTAGTACTTACCAGATGTTGTTTATCTTGATAACCCGTTATAAACTGTCCGTCTTCAATAGCCCAGGCTGTGCAGAAAGTAGGACGTTAAACCCCATTTCATTTCATTTCGTTGTAACGACTATTTACCATATTCTGTGTATATTATAAACTGATCTTATCTTATAACTGTTTATTTGATATATTATGAATTGATCTTATCTTATAACTGTATGTTTTATATATTATGAATTGATCTTATCTTATAACTGTTTATTTTATATATTATGAATTGATCTTATCATATAACTGTTTATTTTATATATTATAAATTGATCTTATCTTATAACTGTTTATTTTATATATTATAAATTGATCTTATCTTATAAACTAATAGCATAAGTTTGTGCGTAGGAAAGAGTAGGGCCTCTTGTCCAAACTTGTGGATCTTTTTGTGTCGATGGGATGTTACGAGAGAGAGAGAGAGAGAGAGAGAGAGAGAGAAGGGGGGTGGGGTGAGGTGGGGTGAAACGTCCATTAGACACAAACTAGGTCATGTTTGGACTGATTTATGGTCTGATTTCATTTGAATAAGTCGCTTACGGGCAGGTGTGTTTGGCAGTGAGAGAAAACCGAAGGGCCCAGAGAAAACCCACGAGGTTGGACAGGCGACCCTACTCCTTGTTACGTACAAGCGGGGATCGAAGCCATACCCCTTGACTCAATGTCAGACCTTACGATCTAATGCCCCAGCGTTTAACCATTCTTCCACCCCCTTTTGAATTAATGAAGATATATATAATAACAGCCGTAATGAGGCTGTAGTTTTGTTTATTTGGCGTGAGGATGAATCCATATCGATTTTCTGCATTCCGCGACCTTCCGTCCTGGGGTTACCCCGCCCTGTCCCTACACCCTGTGAACGCAATAGAGTCTACAGTTTTTACACGATCTTTCATAAATTTGGTGTTAAGAATTTTTGGTTATGAGAGGATTTTCAGCATTCCGTAACCTTCCGTCCTGAAGTTATCCCCAGCCTTTTCTTACACCTTGGTCATGAGAGGACGAATCCTATTTATTTACTGCATTCCGTAACTTTGCGTCCTCAAGTTATCCCGCCGTTTGTGTTAACCTTGTAAACACGAAACCAGTTTCCGGTTTTAACTTCCATTTTGTATGAAGAGCTCTCGATGTTTTAGGCATGGGGAGGTAAACGCTGAATATCGGTAGAGTCTGTCCTGACATCATCCCCAGTACAGAAAAAGGGTCATCAAGTCCAATAAAAAAGGACCTTTGAATCGGAGAAAAGGAACCATGTGTCTATGTCTAGTAGTTAGGCACATGAGTCAAGAGCCTTGCTAGACCCATCATTCTTTAGTTCACATAGGACAAGATCTCAGTTGTTTCGGCGTCTGGATATTCGTTAGCGTTGGCTATGATGGGTGCATGCTGATATCAATACATTCCCCTGCCCCCTCCCCAATGCATACTGCTATCAGGAATTGCTTGCAGCGGGTTTGTTTTATGGGGGATTATTTATGTTGGTGCTCTTATTATTTTCTTCCGCTCTAGTGCGAATCGTGAATCAGTTGCGTTCCACAGAGAGTCGCGGTGGCTCGGTAAACCGGACGTCCAGTATTCTATCCCGCTGTTGACCGAGAACTATCATCAGGATTTTCCGGCGTGGTGCCACCTCGTCATTGGTGCCGGACGAAGGATCTTACAACAGACAACGTATAGTCAATCTTTCGGATGGGACGAAATATCGAGTGTCCGTGTACACATTTGTGTACGGAGAAGAAACCTTGAAGAACCACTGTCCAATTAGATTCCTCCATCTTTATTCAAAGTTCATTTTTTGCGCCAAATAAGATTATAAATCCGTATCAGTAATGAGTTCAGGAAAGCCGTTCCAAATAAATGTATGCTTCCCATATTCTTTTTACATGGAAAATAGATAGAAATGTTGCCTAGGCAGTGGCACTACGACATCTCTTATAGGGAACTCCAAGAGTGATTGTTTCTTTTATGTGCACGCCAACGCCAGAGACAGAGGCTAACACCCAGATCTTGAAAAAGAGTAGGCGGAACCGAAGCCCTCAGGACAAAATTGCCCGTCACAGCACATTGCATGGCGTATTGCCTTCTAGGTGTTAACCGTGAATATTCCTCGGATTTTTTCCGGCAAGGTATCCAGTTGTCAGTGGTGCAGGGCGGGGAACCTGAAAAAGGTCTAGTCCCTCGTGGTTTTGTTCGTTATTTGGTTAATTGTTTAAACAAACAATCAAGCGCTGTTAATTTCCTTCATGAAACTCAATGCAGTGTATGCGATGAAACCGATTGTCAGAGAGAATGGGCTGGTCGCATATTGTTTTTTTAACATGGTAGAACTAACTCCGAAGAACAGTTATTTGTTTTAAAAAGTAGCAACAACATAAACGTTATTAAAACTCAATCAGATGATAAAGGTTATTTTAACATTTTGGTAATAAGTATCTGTTATGACATCTTAGTATTAGTTAATATATATAGTTCTATAACTGACAATGACCAATATGCGTAGTATATAAAATTACTGAAATATTGTGAACTTGGCATGTTTTCGCTAATAATTGGTGGAGATTTCAATTTTCAACTTGATACATATGACGACAATTATAAATTTGTTGCAGATCTGAACCCAGAGACATTACAATTATCGAAAAACTTTATAATCAATATACTGCGGTTGGACAATCATTAGACAAAGTTATATGAAGGGACACAGGGAGCAATACTTAGGGTCAAACAAACTTGGTAGGAAAATGGTGAACAAAAACCCCACCAAATTATTTTTTAACTTATTAAATGAAGGAAAGAGTGCCACTACAATAAAGAAGCTAAAACAAATCAGGCGCCTCTTTAATATTTAACCCCATTGAAATATCGGGTGAGATATTTCTATTATACAAAAATATTTATACCTCTAGAAAAGCTAAATAAATATCAAAAAGATATATTTGATTTCAAAATTGACTTCTTCGAACTAAAATTTGACTAAAAAATAAATATATCTCCAGGAAATGATGATATAACAATTGAATTTTATCGACACTTTTGACCCAAGATTGACCCAATATTGTCTTTGCCTGTAAGCAGCATTGTAATGTTCCCTCGAGTTAACCATTGGTCTTACCATAGCGCCATCTGACGATATATGCCAACAGATTATATATTTCTAACAAAAACGTCTAAATCTATTTATGGAAGGGATACAATATTTCGGCTGTTCTGCTCCGATTGGGCTAATAAAAACGGCCGAACGCTATAATGTGTGCTATGAGTCTACTCTTATCCAATTGGAACTGCCAAGGGGTCTTTTACTTGCACACAAACGTGTACAAGGGACCTAGATTTGTCGTCCAGTCCGAACGACTATACGGTGTCTCTTGCCATTACCTAAGTCCTGCACCACTGGCAATTGGGAACCATGACAACAAATCCCGATGAACTTTCCCGGCCAACACTTACCGAGCCACCGTAGCTCCCCGTTACATAAAAACTATGGAAGTTGAATCATGGTGACTCAATCTAAAATAGGATTACGGGGAAATAATCGATGTTTTAGAAGAAATTTACACAATGCGTATAACATAAAGGTCCACGGTAATATAATATTTTGAGGTAATATTTGATATAATATTCCGTGACGTATATAGGAATAAGGTGTATATTATTTTGTCTGATTTACATCATAAGTAATTTCTGGTATTTATATCATACTTGTGTCAATCATGATCAGCTATGTGATGAAACATATCTCAAGGAAATAAACATTTAAATAACAATTTTCGTGAAATGTAGTAAAACATTAAATGTGTTAAGTCAAAAATAAGGATCAAAACATTAAAGGCGTGTGAAAAAATTCAAGTTTGTTAGGACAGTCCTTTTTTCTACAAAACATATAATATGATAAACTATTACTTATAATACATGTCAAACTGGGTATGTTTATGAAATGGAACCTTCGACAAGTATTTTGTTTTAAAAAAAAACCGTATACTAACGGCAACAATTCAGATGTAGGGGTCATTAGCAGTGGGAGGATTTCGGAAATACCGGAGAAAACCCACGAGGTTGGACAGGCGACCTTCCTCCTTTACATGTGGGGAATCGAAACCACGCCATTTGACTCAATGACAGACCTCGTGATTCCACCTGCACGCGTTAAACCACTAGACCATCCATACCCACCCCATCCCCCAATTAGGCATACGCCAACATTTTTAGATTTAACAATTTAGGAAAAAACAGGGTATTATTCAATTCTATAATTTCACAAAATATAATCAGCTTTATAGTATGTTTTTAAGAAAGGTCAAACTTGGTATGATGAAGAAATAGAAGTTGCGAAATTTCTTTTAAAAAAAACGTATTTGTATTCTACCTTTAGCAGAGCATTTAAAATAAAGAGATGTTATTCTAGAAAGATTGTTAAATATTGTTATGCCTGTAAATAGAATACATTATATAGAGTAAAATCTGGTACTTTACTATAAAGTGACGGATATTTTACAACTCCAATACCAAGTTTGACCATTTTGTTGAAAATGCAGCTATTGGTCAGAATTGTCTTGATAGCCCAGTCAATCTACGTTG